TTTGTTGTATTATTGAAGAGCTGGTGTAGGATATTATATGAATGTGTGAATTGGCTATCAAGTCAAAGTCATCATTGGGTTGTAATAGTTGGAAAAATAAAGGTAATATAGTTGTAATGTAGTTACATGGAGGAATATGGAAATGAAGGATACATATGAAATGCATATTTTGTACATTTTTAAACTGTTTGTTAAATTTTCATTGTATTATTTTATGTCCCATGACATAGTACATTCACCGGCCATTTTAATAGGAAGACCTGTAACCTAGCTCATAAAATCATGCAGATACAGCTCAAGAGTTTCAGTTAATGTTCACATCAAACATCAGAATGGTGGAGAAATCTGATCTCAGTGATGGTTGTTGGTGCCAGATGGGCTGGTTTGAGTATTTCAGAAACTGCTGATAACCTGGGATTTTCAAACACAAGGTTTCATGCATGAGTTTACACAGAAAACGTTCATTGAACAGCAGTTGTGAACTCCTTGTTGATCAGAAGAAGAAAATGGCCAGACTGGTTTGAGGTGACAGGGTTGGAGTTGGATACTGCTATTACATATATCTTTTAATATATTTAGTAATATGTTGGTTATATTTTGCTCAGAATGTCAGAATTGCTATACTGCTCACAGCACATGACATTTATTGTGTGTGATCTATTGTCTTGTCAATGTTGTAGCATGCACCTTTTCACCTGGAGGGATCCCCAACACAGAGTGATGACAAATTCTAATTGTTTTGTAAAAAAATTAAAGCGAAACCTTACAACTGACTGCATTTAGTTTTTACACACTATTGGGGTCTTGCAGATCTCAAACATGTATTGGTGGCTGAGAATTTGGGACTGAAAGTGTGCGCTGTGCTTGTGCTTTAATGACTTGCTTGTCTTTTTTCAGACCAAGGCGGGGCTAGTTGTGCCAGGGGAGGAGCCGTCATTGCTACTTTCCCCCAGTGTGTTCCAGCAGTCCACTACAAAAGCACCAGAGCTGCCACGAAATCCTGCTCCTCCGCCGTCACCCCCTGCCTCTCTGGGGGCTGGAGAGCTTTCCCCAACAGTGTACAGCAAGGCACAGCTACAAGACGTTCTGATACATTTGATAAAGGTACACACTCAAATAGAGTATTAATAAATGTTTTTTGTTTGTTTGTTTGTTTGTTTGTTTTTTTAAGTTTGTGGATACTGGTCACTTTTCTGCTACACCGGGAAAATTTAATTTCTTAAATTTGGATTTGTTTCTGCTTTGTCTCTTTAAGAACGATGCCCACTTCCTCAGCACAATCCATGAAGCGTACATCCAGAGCCTCACCAAAGACCTCAGCAATGTCAAACTATAGCCACTGACCCCAAACTCCCAGACTGAGTGCTCTTTCTATCAGCCCAGGGGGCTGTATTAGGACAAAACCACCGCATACTGGTGCACTGGTTCTCTCACTGTATCTTAGTCACAGAGGGATGAATCCAAAGGCACACATCACTCCTTTCTTTCAGCGCTTCTCTGCAAGAACGCAAGCTTCAGGATGACTACAAAGCCATGGTTGCCCCACATCTGAGCCCCGGCTATTCTGAATCATGAGGGGGAACACTCACTTCTTTTGTCTAATCGTTGTCCGTCTCATCCTGTCTGGTCCCTCATTGCCCTGTCTGTCATTCCATCTCTAGCTAATAGTTATGGCTAAGCTTATGAAAGCAGGTGCAATACAGGCATTTTTTTGCCTTTTGTAACAGTCATGTTTAGGGATGCATTGATACCGTTTTTTGTTTTTCAGATTGAGAACATGTTTTTTTTTCATATTTGTCAATAACAATACTGATGTTAAAATGAGAAACCTACTTGGTATCAATCAGTGATGTCGTGGAACATTTTATTTAGCTCTATTTATATTGGTTGCTGCCACAATGAACTCCTCATGCTCAGTTTTATGTTTGAGATGTTATGGTGTTAAAACAGTATCTTTAATAGAGCGCAACAGCAGCAGACCAGAGCAGTATCAGTGAGCGTATTGAAATGCACCTTGCTGTGAATTGCACCTTGACTCAGAAGCAAAGTAGAGACCCTAAGCACAAGGTGCTCAGTGCTCGCACAGTTGAAATGCTTTCTGATGCGAGGCAGTTCCTCTACATGTTCCCTTCACTAGTCCACCTCAATAACTGTGTGCGTCCAATTCACAGCACATTGCACTCATTTTTAATGCTCGCTGACATTGCTCTGCTCACTCGCGTAAGACATTTTATCAGGATACTTGTATTGTAGGAAGTTGCTGTAGTAGCTCCTCTCGATATTTTCACAGAGCACTGATGTATGTCCACATCGCTTTCATTTTGTGCCATCTGTTCATTAGCGTGACAGTATACACTAGGCTTACATCACACAGTATGACGTGGTATCGGTTGTTGGTATTGGAGCGTGTTTACAAGTAAATGAGGATGTTATCAGACCGATACCCAATACCAGTATCGTATCGCTGCCTCCCGATTAACCATGGCTCTTTCTTATAACTAAAATAACGCCCCACAATTAAGTTTTGAACAGTAACCTGAGGGAAGACCTGCACTTTTTCTTGAAGTAATATTTGGACCCAGGTCTGGAAGTGAGATATGGTAACCTTGATGGATTACACTAGTGCTCGTGATGCATTGTAAACTGCAGTAGCGTTACTGCAATAAGCTTTATTTGCACTGGACAATAGGAGTACAACTGCTTATTATATAGTGATAAATTAGTTTGATTATAAATAAGGTGTTATGAGTTATGAAGTACCTTTTGAGTTCTTGGATATGTTGGGCATCTTTCAATATTTCAGTCATCAAATTTAATCTGCAAGTTTAGGATGAGTGTGAAGTTTTGCCGCTTTGTGATTTGGGATAGCTTGATTAATAAGCACAAGAACAAGACTGTCAAGATGAGCAGGTCATTTAAATAAAGTGGATTTGAGTAAACTTCAAGGACTTGTATTGAGTTGTTGGTTTATAAGATACCAGACAGGTGTACCTAATAAATGTTCAATTTGGTGTGCATCCTTTTAAAGGTTAGTCAAATGCCAAATAAATAAATAAGCAAATCTGCAGTAGCATATGATGATTCTGGTCCTTTTCTATGATATTGATTAATTCCTCCACTATGTGGCACTTTTTGGTTGGCTTTTTTGTTTGGTGGGTTTTTTCTTGTTTTTTGTTTGTTTGTTTGTTTGGGGGGGGGGGCACTTGGCTTTGGTAATTCTGTCTCTTTTGTGTTTAGACACATACAGCCTGTGAGAATTTAAGTAAAGTCTTTTTAATGCAAATATTTTTTTATCTGTATAATGCTGTTAATTGATTATCTCCCTTTATGTCTATTTTTGGCCAGCTAAATTACAAATAACGTTCTGTGATTATGATGCATATTTTGATTTTGTACACAAATGCCAGCAGGGAAATGGGATGCAATAAGAAACCTGAACCATGCAATTCAGATTTGGTTATAATGGAAATCTCACTAAAGTAACCAAGAGCAGCTTTAAAGTGCTATACTCGTTTGGAAGCTTGAATGCATCTTATGGGCAGCTCTGTTCCCCCACACCTTTTTTTTTTTTTCTTTCATCTGAAGGCTATTTTAGGGGGAAAAACATATCTGGCCAAAAAAAGGGTAAACATTTTTTCACATAGCCCAATTGTAGTCGATCAAATATGACACTTTTGGTGTCCAGCTTTTGTTTCTTTACTTAGACATTCAGCTACATGGTGAAATATTGTTGAGGTTTATAGATACAGTTTATAGTCATTGCACTACTTAAGATTTAAATGTGGATTAGCTACATTAGCTTCATAATTTCAGTGCAACACAATCAATGTAAATGTGCTGGGTGACTGACTACATTTGAGTAAAGAAATGCATTAGTATATGATCCATCTTTAGGTTTTTTTTTTATGTTAATTATATTGTCCCACTTCATGAATGTTTTTCCCTCAACCTTTCCATTTTCTTCATCTTGTTATTTCCTGTCTTTTTTTTTTCTTTCAGAAAATGTAGAAGCAATTATTGCATCCTAGAACAGCAATCTCAGAATTCTGCTAAAATGCATGTTACTAGAGTATGCGCTAATGCAAAGAACTAGAGATCACTTGTCCTTATTTTTTTAAAAGTTCTTTGACAGGTCTGTTCAGCTAATTCAATGTACAATAAAACTGTTCTGTTACCTCTCCTGATCATGTTTTGCAAAGTAGCTTATTTTTAATGACATTTCCCACATGCACAGTTGAAATGCAGTAATAAATGAGTTGATTGCGATGACTCTGTATTGTTAACATCACGTATGTTCAAAACTGACACAGGGAACAGTGTCCATTATGTTTAGGCAGTGTGTACTTGTATGTGTGTAGCTTTTAATTCATGGAGCCAAATATAATGAATTTGGAACTTCACAATGCTTCCCTTAAACCATCTGATTTGAATCCTTCATCACTTGATGAAGGTGTGCCTGTGAAATTAATTACATTTTATTTCCACAGAACTCCAATAGACATTGTCACAAAGCAGCTTTACATAAATTTGGGTGTAGGTTTAGATCCCTAATGAGCGAGCCAGAGGTGACATGAAGAAACCTTGAGAGGACCCACACTCACAAGGAAGCCCACCTCTTCTGGGTGACACTTGATAGTGATATTATAAATCATTACAGTATATATGTGTAGATTAGTAAAGTCACACGGTGTGTTGAGGATGTTCAGTATGAGCATATTATGAATTATAGTCCTGGGATGAGCACAGGACAGTCTAATAACTGTAGTTTAATTACAGAGCATGTCTAAAATTGAATCAATTCTGCCTCCTCAAGCAGAACTCGGAGACAGGAAGGCATCACCATAGCTTACACATTGCTATTGTACACCCAAACACATGTTTCTCAAAAACCTAAGCTCACTTGTCTGGTCCAAGTGGTTTGGTACATTTAACTGGAATTCACTCTCATTACAAACTCAATACAAGCACAGGACACCTCTCCAACTAGATGTCTTGTCCCGGGGATTGGTAGCTCAGTGGTTAAGGTGTTGGACTACTGATTGGAAGGTTGTGAGTTCAAATCCCAACACTGCCAAGCTGTTACTGCAGGGCTCTTGAGCAAGGCCTTTAACCCTTAGCTGTTCAGCTGTATAAGCTCTGGATAAGGGGGCCTGCCAAATAAGGGTGTCTTCACAAATTGCTGGTATGGATGCAGATTTTCTTTCCAATCAAGCAGGAGTCAAACACCTGATTCTACCTGTTTACTCAGTTGATCTTGGCTTTCAATAGACTATTAGGTGTGGCTTCTGCTTGTTTGGAATGAAAACCTGGACCCACACTAGCCCCTTCTTGAAAAGACTGGACACCCCTGCTTGAAGGGAATGTAGTACAGAGGTACTATGTAGATAGCTGGGGGCTAGTTCATTTTAGTTTTATAGGAAAGTATCAGTGTTTTAAATCTGATATGGGCAGCTACAGGAAGCCAGTGAAGGGAACACAGCAATGGGGTAATGAGGAAGTACTTTAGGAACCTTTACTGCTTCTTGCTGTACGCTTGGTTGGGAGTGTGATCTTGAAGTCTCAGTACTGATAGCTAAAGCAGCAGAGTTAGATTTGGTTAATGGCCTGGGATAGGGAGGCACTGTGGCACAGTGGGTAGCATTGCTGCCTGACAGCTCCAGGGTCCCTGATTCAATCCTGAGCTCAGGTTCCTAAGCTCAGATTTCCTCCCACCTCCCAAAATCATGCAGGTAGGTGGATGGTTAATGTGTGGAGGTGTTAATGTGTGTTAATGGTACCCTGTGATGGACTGGCATCCTATCTGGGTTCAATTCTCCCCACTTTTACCCAGTGTTACTGGGATAGGCTCCGGATCCACCAGCCTGAACAGAGAAAGGAGGCCTATTTATTTAAAGGGGTACATCTGTTGCATGTATAGAGGCATGAGTATATATGCATTTTCTATGACAATTCAAATAAACTGTTTATTTCCTTAAGTTAATTCTGTGTTTGTGTCTCATTCTTGGACTGGAACAAGCAGAAACACCATACTATCCATCAACCACTAAGAATAAATTTCATTATAAATGCTTGCTGTATTTTAGGAATATTAAAACATACAATTGCTGTATTTGGATTCATAATTGTAGATTGAGCATAAATGTTATTTCTGATAGACAAAATAATGCAAAGTTCAGAAAGACCTAAGTGGCCAAGAATTGTGTCCATTATTATTGTATAAAAAGTCTACAGCTGCGCGACAATATTCAGCTAAGAAAAGCTTCCAAACATGACAACATGAAAAGTGCACACTGTAAGCCCAGCTTAACAAATATTGATAATCAGATAGCATTTCAGTGGGCTTGCAACATGATTTTAATGATCCTGTCTTGAATCATGACTGTATGTAATATGTGATCTCATTCCTCTGTTTACTGAAAGGAAAACTGTGCAAACACGGTGGTTGATTGGTAAGGCTTAGAGAACATTTTTGTTTCACAGTCAATCGTTATTAGCTTAGGTCTATTCATAGCGCTATCATTCGTTTCTCTGTTTCTGCCACAACCCTAACCAGGATAAAACAGTTACTGAAGATGAATGAATAGTTCATTCAATATTCTTACTGAATATTCTTACTCAATATTTTTGGCAGCAGCAGTATGTCAACATTCTAGCTTATTATCTTACAAATTTGACTTTTTATCTCAATATTGACTTATTGCCTCAAAATTCTGACTTATAATTTTGACTTATCTCAAAATCTTGACTTAGTATCTCAAAATTTTGAGTAATTATCTCAAGATTTGAATGTTTTCTCAATTTTCTGACTTATTACCTCAATATTTTGACTTATCTCAAAATGCTGACATATTTCAAACTTCTGACATCTCAAAATTATCTTATTCCTTCTTATTTTGACATATTATGATGATAGGTCTATGCACATAATGTGTCTGTTTAGAAAGATGACCTAAATAGCTCACTTTATAAGTGACTAGCTCGCCTAGTTTAATATCTAACATAACTAGCTGCTCAAATTATATATCAAATGGTGAATTCATATTTATAGTACCTGCTATTCCTGTTACACATGCATGCTTGCTATATGCCATCCAGTAAACAAATCCTCATCACTTAGCTACATCAGTCAACTCCTATTGCCTGTGTGAATGGAAGGTAAAGGCAAGTATTCAATATCTGAAGATAGGATAAGATAGAAAAATATTTGGCAGTTAAGAAAGTCTAAAAATAATAAAACAATATTTTGGTATAGCAAGTGAAGAATTTGACATAATTCACCATAATATTGCAGTAATATTATTATGCAAGAATACAAGTCTAAATTATGTGATAATAAGTCATAATTTTGAGGTAATATGTGAGAATTTAGAGGTAATAAGACAGAATTTTGAGGTAATAAGTCAGAATTTTGAGGTAATAAGTCAGAATTACGAGGTAATAAGTCAGAACTTTGAAGCAATAAGTCAGAATTTTGAGGTAATAAGTCAGAATTACGAGGTAATATGTCCTAACTTTGAAGCAATAAGTCAGAAGTTTGAGGTAATAAGTCAGAATTACAAGGTAATATGTCCGAATTTTGAAGCAATAAGTCAGAATTTTGAGGTAATGAGTCAGAATTACAAGGTAATAAGTCAGAATTTTGAGGTAATAAGTCAGAATTATGAGGTAATATGTCAGAATTTTGAGAAAAGGCAAAGTTAGTGCTGCTGCCAAAATAAGAAAAAATATGTCATGCAATTTTTTTTCTTTTCTACCTGGTGGAACGGGTTTCACACCCTTGCCGTTGGTGTGAGTGTGCCTTCAGAGCCAGCTGCTAGGTTAACAGTGTCAAGGTAAGTAATCTTTTAGGTCAGGTATGAGTGCATATGAATTAGCATTTGGCAATTAGTCACACTGTACCACTTTTTTTTAGTTATGAATGCACTTTTTTTTACAATTATTTGTACAGTTATACAAAATAATATGTATCAACATGAATTTGTGTGTGCATGGTGTCCTGTATGGACTGGTGTCCCATTCAGGGTATATTCCTGCCTCGGGACCAGTGTTCCAGGGACAGGTTCCTGATCCTGCAACCCTGACCAGAATAATGTGGTTACTGAAAGGGAGTGAGTCAGTTATATGTTATATGGCATATATGTTATTGCATATGTCATCTTATTGTGACACCTGTTTCTCCTGTTCTGCTTTAAACGTCCTACATCTTGCATTTGGCTGATGTAAAATCAGAAGAGACTGATGCATATTTTCATGTCCCCTGTCAACCCATCTATCCATTTTCCATACCATTTATCCTACACAGGGTTGCTGGGGGAGCCTGGAGCCTATCCCAGGGAGCTCAGGGCACAATCTATAACAGCAGAATTAAAAAAAAACGTGAAATCTTTGTCTAAGTTCTGTCAGATTAAGCCTTTTAACCCTTTCATACATAAATTATTTAGACGCATATCCAGATTCGTTTATATTTTCTGTTTTTTTTTTTTAACTTAAAATTGCATGATGTATGAATTTTGGTTCTGTCTAAGTGTTACTTTTGTTAAAAAGTAAATAATTTGTCCATGAGTTAAAAAAAAGGCTAAAATAGTATGCGTGATAGTATTAGTATTATAATAATAATAATAATATAATTTTATTACATTATTATTACAAAATTTTTAACATTTAGGTCTTAAAATATATAATGTTCATAATATTACTGTTAACGCAAGGAGGTAAAAAAAATCATCTTCCCAAAACCACTATTTTAAAAATAAACAAGCAAAATTTCTTTCATTTTTCTGTTATATTTTTTTAATTTTATGTAGAAAGTTTGAAAGATTGAGAATGATAAATAGTCTAGAGAGCTACAGAAGTTTATGTTCATTTACAATAATGATCTCAAGTGATTTAGAGTTGATTTACAGTTGGGGTCATAAGTTTACATACACCTTGCAGAATCTACAAAATGTTAATAATTTTTAAAAAAATAAGAAGGATCATAAAAATTGCATTTTGTTTTTAATTTGCATAATAACAATTTATCATGTTAAATAACAATTTACACTGATCATCCTGTTCAAAAGTTTACCCCCCACCCCCCACCCCCACCCCGGCTCTTAATGTATCCTTAATGTTGCCTTCTTGAGCATCAGTGAATGTTTGCAACTTTTGTAATAGTTGTGTAGGAGTCCCTCAGTTGTCCTCAGTGTGAAAAGATGGATCTCAACATCATATAGCCACTGTTGAAGGGGTCAAATATGCATAAAATGCTGGAAAACCGAAGAATGTGCAGTACTTGGAGGATTTTTCTGAAGAACAGTGGGTAGTTTAACTGCTCAGGACAAACAAGGGACTATCATGTAAACTTTTGCACTGGTTCATTTGTGTAAATTCAGTTATTATTGTGTCTTGTGGACTATATGTAAACATCTGTTATAGCTATCCTTATAAATAGCTTATTCAGGGCAGTACTAAATAAAAAACAAAATGCAATCATAAAAAAAAATTAAATTGACTGTCCAAAAGTGTGGACATTCTATTCAAACGTGTCTAACAGAGATAATGCAGAATAATTGACCTTAAAGGGATACTTCATGCAAAAATGAAAATTCTGTCATCAACCGTAAACAGTGCAGCGCTTCCAGGTCCAGTTGTATCGTGAGAACGTCCACTCTTGCGTCAACACAACACACATGCGTCATGGTCCTCTCGTGAACGCGTGTCAGAGATCTATGTGGAAGTGAAGATATTTTGTGAATAAAGACTTTATTTAATTTTTTTTATACACACACAAAGCATTCATATCACTTCATAAAGTTGGAATTAAACCACTGAAGTCACATGGATTACTTTTATGATGCTTTTATGAACTTTTTAGAACTTGAAAATTTTGGTTACATGGACTGTCAATGGAGGACAGAAATCTCCCAGGTTTCATTAAAAATATCTTCATTTGTGTTCCGAAGATGAACAAAAGTCTTATGGGTATGGAACGACATGAGGGTGAGTAACTGATGACAGGATTTTCATTTTTGGGTGAACTATCCCTTTAAGATAGGTCAATTATTCTGCATTATCTCTGTTATACACTTTTGA